TCAAAATAAAATAAATTACACTTCCAATACAATTTTCCGAAAGTTGGTTTTGGTCATTTAAGGTAGTTTTTATCACGCGGATTCGTGGATCGTTCAATTGTTCGTTTTTGTGATAAGTTTGATTTTAGCTAGTATTTGATGCTATAAAAACGGAGCGTGTCGTTATGGTTGATAGGCCTTTTTCACGGTCTGCGTTTGAAAACCGGAAGCTTCGAGTAGTTGTGTAAAATAACTGGGAGTTTGCACGGGAGTTTGATACCGCGGCTCCACCTCACGACACTACTGCCCAGACTCTGGCTCCAAACAAATCTCTACTGCGCAGACTCTGGCTCCAAATTACGTCATTTACTCAAGATGGCAGCAGCAGGGGCCATACTAAGATGCTTTGGATTCACTTTTCTATAGTGAAAGGAATAGGAGACGCGTCATCCATCTTTTTTTACAGTCTATGATATATATATATATATATATATATATATATATGTGTGCCAGTAGGCTACTGCCGTTCCCAGCGGTGAAGATCAACTCTTCATTCATAATGAAATAATTTTAGAGACAAAATAACCAGCTTTTGTAGCTAATTATTTATTATATTTATTTTACATGAATTATGTAGTATTTATCCTATATCCTTATTGCATTACAAATTAATTATTTGACAATTAATATTAAACTTTTAATTTAAATATATATTAATTTATATATAAATAAATGCTTTAGAATATATATATAATTCGTTTTGTCGATTAATTTAAAGTAAGTGAAGGCGGGATAGGCGGAATTGTGCTGATAGAAGTGCTCTCTCTCGCGCACGCTACACTTCTTCAGTTCTCATATACAGCGCGCGATCAGTTCTCAGTGCTCAAATACACACACAGCAGTCCACATGTCTATTGTGTAGATTATCTCACATAAATGCAGTCGGTTATGGATTAAGTGAACGTAAACAGGTGCAGTAGCCCCTCACTGTAGAACAAAGATCCAGGGGGTGGGGTTGAATCCACATCTAGGGTGTGGAGATGGGTGGGTTTAGGGATCAGGGGGTGGAGACGGGTAGGTTTAGGTATATGTAAGGTGGGAGGAGTTGGGTCTGGATCCAACCTCGTCCCCTGGATCTTGTGTTCTGCAGTGAGGACCATCTGAACAGGTGGGTGAAAACTGAACATGTGTCAGTATTACATGCATGCCTTCTGTCTTAAAGGGAAAGCATTCCTAATTAAGTACCTCTCCGTATCATTAGTGCTTGCTTTCTGAAAACACCGGTAAGCTTGCAGTTTAGCGATCTCCACTTCAATATTCTATTCTCAGAGAAGTGTAATTCCTTAAGTGTTCATTTACGAGAGAGAGAGAGAGAGAGGCTGTGTATGTATGAATTACCACGGTAATTGCTGCTGCTACACTTACAGGACAATCAAATCCTTGTTTAGGCTATTGGCCAAACATTTAATTCAAATATTCACTTCATCTTTAATTTTTGGCCAGCTTTTTGCTATAAATGACACATGTGTACAGCCTCTATTTCTTCAACAAAAAACATGTGGACATTACAACCTTTACAAAAATAAACCATGTTTTTATCGTAGTAAAACTGCTTAATTTTCTTTTGCGTTATTTCTGAATGCTTGAGACTATAAAATAAATTAAACAACTGTATTAATAAAGTCATAGCCATAGGTAACTGTCTAGAGCTACAATTGTAATTTGTAAATAA